CGGAATGTTCCCCTAACCTAAAGGGAACATTCTATTTACTTTCCTAGAAGGTTCCCAGAAAGTTCTCTGAAGGTTCCCAGAACGTTCTCCTATCCTCTTTAATCCGATACCGCTGCTGTACATCAGTAATCATCCAGCAACCCCGTGTCTCATAGAGTAAGCGGCATTGAAGACGGACGGATATGGACCTCAATAATCAGTACTACAAACCATGTCTTGTTTTAAACTATTGTTTAACCATTAAAGATAATTGAAGCACATTTAACCATCATAAGGAGCATTAAATGAGATTGAATTATCCGTTAATATGTAAGATTTCTTTATTATAACTACCATGTACTATAAACCCACCATAACCCAGATATTACGTTTCTTAAGCACCAAATAACAATGACTTCAACAAAATATTGGGTTTTAAAATGTGAATTTTATTTTTACAGATATTAAAATGAATAATATTTATTTGACTTTAACTAGGATAACATTGCATTAATTTCTTACCACTGAATTAACGATGATGTGCTTCTCTCTCTTTTGGTTCATAAACAAAAGCTGGAAGCGCGTGCAGATCATGGGCGCGCAGTAGAAGAAACATACAAACAAACCCAGTGTTTATGATATGCTTTTCAGACTACGCTTAGCTTAATTTCAGCTATTAAATTGTAATTATATTATCATTATAATGCGATTTGACTACTTTGATGTCTACACTTTATTAAAAGCTTATTTCAGATATGAAATTCTGCAAAAATAGAACATTCTCTCTAGGTTATGAAATAAAATCTAAAAATAACCTGCAGGGAAACTTCCGGGAACATTCTCTCTAGGTTATAAAATAAAATCTAAAAATAACCTGCAGGGAACGTTCCGGGAACATTCTCTCTAGGTTATAAAATGTAGATTTTGTAAATTATGCATACCTGAATATAAGACATTTTTCACTTCCAGCCTTCATGAATAATTATATATCAATTATAAATGATTAAATACAAGATTAATAGTAGTTATTAAGAATGATGTCGTTTGGAATTGATAAAATGTGCTTGGAAAAAGATATGATCAGAATATCAACTTGCATAATTATGCATGCACTGTATTTTTCCTCTTCTGCTGTCAAGGAATGTTCTGATTGGTTGTCAAGGCAGCCAATCAGAATTTAGCAGCCTTGTCTCTGATTGGCTGGAATTATGGCATATTGTAACACTGCAGGGCGGCCATCAGGTGAGCAAGCTAGTGAAACGTTGCACGCGCAAAAGAAAAGGTCTGCACACATCCAAAAACGTATTTTAAATGCACAATTGATTTTCGTGCTCTCTAAATACTTTCTTCTTTGCGAGACAAACATTTTCTCCACAAAACTCAGTTCGCGCGCGTGCAAAACGCACTTTTGCGCACTCAAAATATGATCTTTCGCGTGCAGAATTGTGGCAGAGATGTAATCCCATACGATATAACAGAGGTGGGACCAAGTCGTTGTTTTGCAAGTCACAAGTAAGTCTCGAGTCTTTGCATTCAATTCTCGAGTCAAGTCCCGAGTCAAACGCAACGCATAAAAAGACAGTATAAGTCATTATAATCCATAATTATGTCCCCACTTATGTCCCCTCGTTTATAATGGGTTTTCATGTTTTTGTCTCGTCACTCTGGCCGGACAGGGCATCATCACAGTATGGTGAGGGGCGTAACATTTCCGTCACACGCTTGAGGTATTCGGCCAATCACAACGCACTGGATAGCTGGCCAATCACAGCACACCTCGCTTTTTCAGACCGATGAGCTTTGTAAAAATCGACGTGTTTCAGAAAGGCGGGGCATAGAGGAGAAACAATAATGTACAGTATGTGGAAAATAATGTGTTTTTTTAACCTTAAGCCGCATAAACACATTTCATTACACCAAATACACAAAATAATGTTCTTTTTAGCAACATCATATGACCCCTTTAAAATGCAACTACCTGTGTCCCATTCTGGTGGGAACATCATCCTTTGATAAACACCTATTGGTGGAGGATAGCACTTGATACTATTATAATTATTGTTTAAATTGAACTTGTTAATTATTGTCTTGGTAATACATAAGGGTTCTCCTACAGTCATTTTCAATAATTTCACCATTTGCTTTCTCAGTATTGGCAAATGTGAGGAATTTGATCAAGAAATGTCTTCTCCAGCTCAAGAGGACATTAAGCAGAATGTCCCGAACAATAGGAGACAGTCACAAGCGCTTCTTGCAGACTATAATGAGCAACGGCATCATCAGTGCATCTCAGGCCATAGCATTACACAAACACTGCTGTGAGACCCATGGAGGTATGAAGAAAACCCAATTTAGCTAAATTCTGTTGGATCATGTGTTTATGTCGTATTTATTTTGCACTAAAGGCAAAATGTGAAAAACTGAAGCAGAACTATTCTTTCTTCTTTCTTTAGATTTATTACTTCTATGTCTCAGACCTGGAAATTGTATATGAGTTGTATATAGGCGTCCTATTTGAATTGTGCATCTATCCTGGCTTTCTAGCACACTATACAGACAGATTGGATGATTTCATTAATGTCATCAATGCTCAACTTCAGCCATTTTTAATGCACATCAGGAAAGGCATGTCTGAAGAGGATGGTCTTGAGTATTACTCCTTGGTTAGTTAAAGTCAGTTTTTATATATTATTAATTTGTTAATTGTAATATTAGTATTCTATTACATTTATGTGCTTGGTATGATATTTTTTTAAGTCAAAAAAGAAATGACAAATACATCTGTTATTCAGGTAAATGTGACGGAGACGGACATAACAAGAATGGCATCCGATTATGCATAATGAATTATTCAGAAAAATGGTAAATGTTTATTCACAGCAAATAATATATATATATATATATATATGATGTCTTTGATGTCTTTATTGAACACATCCCATTAAACATTCAAAGTGCTATGGAAAAATGTAGTGAACTTTACTTTGTTTTTGCTACCTGGAGGATCCACAGGTTTTTTTTTTTTTTGTGTGTTGTGGGGACTTTCATAAGTATGCATATGTTTGTCCTGAGAATTAAAGGGATACTCCACCCCAAAATGAAAATTTTGTCATGAATCACTTACCCCCATGTCGTTCCAAACCCTTAAATGAAAGAAAGAAAACTGAGCTTGTCTTAAACAAATTTGTCCAGGACAAATGGTTAAAGGAGGTAGGCTATTCATTTTAAAATTGGTCTTTTCCCATATATTGGACTAAGTTATTATAAACAACTCCCTAGTCGCTACCTCCAAAGCAATTAGATACTTTTATTTGTTCTTTTGTTTTGCTGCTTTAGAAAGATGGTGAATACACTCTAAGTGTGCACTGCATTGTAGAGCTGGAACAGTATATGCGCACAATCTACCAAGACCTCATCAAAGTGTGTCATGTGTGCCACAACATTGCCCTGCAGGTAAAGACATGAACACGAGTAAAGGTTGAGAAGTTTTAGTTATTGAGGAAATCCAGGCTTTAGACCTCCATCATTTAATTTGAACCGCAAGAAGTAATTTTAAAGGAATAACTCTGTGACCAAAAAGTCATCAGTACTTGAGTAGTTGATTTTTTTTTTTGGCACTTATGTTACATGACATTTTATTTCTATAGAATAGAATTTATGATAGGGGTTACCTGATAGCATTTTCAAACAGAGGAAACTGCAAACAAGAACTTTTATTTTACATTTAGTGCCAGATGTGTGAAACCCAGTCTATGGTGAAACCCCAGCCTGTGGAATCAAGATGCACCTCCCGTGTGTTTCGAGATATTTTAGAGCACGCAGTAACCCTCGTTGCCCAGCATGCAATGATTTCTGGCCTCACGAGATTTCAGGTGAACTGTTTTTCTTTAACATCGCTCCACTGATTTAAGATTTAATATGAACTGTTTGTGTACTTCAAAAGGTTTTAGATTCCAGTGTTTTCATATTTCTTTTTCTCATTTGCAGAAATGCAGCATTCCCAGTCGCAGAGTTCACAAAAAATGCCTTCATCATCCAAAGAGAACCCTGCTCCCACGCCGTCACGCAGGTCATAATCTCAAAGCCTGCTGATTCATCGCTGCAGCTGGCCTTTTGACCATTAATGAGGATTTTTTTTAAGTGCATTTTCTTAGAAGTTTAAAAGTTTTTTTTTTACATTTATTTTCTATGATAAAGAATTGTTATTGAATAGGTTGTTTCTCAATTACACATTATTTTTGTTGGAATTCTAATTCAAGAACAAACAATTGATTTGCTCTTGTATGGAAACATTTACTGTCTCTGTAGAATTTCAGCATTTCGTACAGTTGCTAAGATAAAAATACAAAATAAAAATTGAGAAGTGCACCGTTCAAATATGTCTTTTCATTGGAAAATCTTAAAAAGAGATTACTTCACGTTATTAGCAAAGTTCAAACTGTTGCATCTGAATGTGGGTCAGATTATACAGAAATACACGTAGTTTAATATATAGCTTGGATACATTGCTGCTTTGGATAAAATATCTGAACAGATTAAAAAAAAAAGTAATGCTTTTTGGCATATTTACATTGTAAAGATTTACATTTATTAATTTAGCAGATGCATTTAATCAAAGTGACTTACAAATGATGACAGTAGAAGCAATCAAACCAACAAAAGAGCAACATTATGCAAGTGCTGTGACAAGTCCTGGTTAGTCTAATGCAGTACATGTAGCAATTGTCTTAAATTAATGTAATCATTTTAAAATGAATTGATTTAAATATAGAAATAGGGTAAGATAGGGGATGGTGTTCCCCTTTAAGAACAATGTGCATTTACATTTAAATTGTAACAAAAGCAAAGATGTCAGAAATGTACATCTAAAACATGGGAATACTGAATAACTGCATCATTTACAGTAAATAATACATTTATATACAGTATGTGTATAACATAGGGCCTAAAACTCTAGAATTTGGCATTTGTACAAATAAAGACAATACAAGACTTGACAACACAAGATGTTTTATTCTGTACAAATCAGGACCACCAAAAACTGACAGAAAAGCTGAGCTCTAGAGAGCGCACATAATGCCAGTGCTGTTGAGGTATGAAGAGGACATCTCTAGGCCGGAGAACACACTCCTGATATGAGGCTTTAGAGAAGTCTGGGAACGTCACCAGGTCTGGATTCTCCACCTCCACCTGGCGATGGTAAAACAATCTCGTGTTTTTTTGTTAAGATATAAAACAACTTGGATTATTTTTGATTATTTCAAAACGCTTTAAGAACAAGAAACTTGCTGTCATAAATGAGGTCTTCTACCTGACTGGTGTTGTGCAGTAGCTGCGACTGATGTGGATAGAGATATTTTGTTTCATCTGGGCTGTAGAGTCTGATGTATTTCCTTCCAACCACCTGACGTCCAAAAACAAAACCAGAACGCCATGAAACAGCGGGAACAAAAGCCTTGCCTTTCAAATGCCAAATGAACCATTTGTCTCTTGTTTACCTGTGCCAAAAAATTCTGTTGAGGATCCTGATGGAGAGGAGAGACAGTCCCTCCAGGCCCAAACCAGGCATTAATTGTAATGTCATCCTCATCTCCCTCTCCAAGACAACAATAGTCTGGGATGCGAATATCTTCTTTCAGCTCTGGAACCTATCAGGATGAATAACAGCCAGAATGACTGCTATTGGTTTTGCATGATGCTACATCCATTAGTATAATCCCAAATCTAAGAAGACTGCTATAGCGCAAACTAAAAATGACTGAGTGCACTTTTAACAGTATAGTGAGAAAATTAAAGAAATAGTGCAGCCATAAATTAAAACTTGCTGAAGGCTGATTTGTTTGTTTCTTCATTTGGAACAGATTTGTGGACATTTTAGCCTTTCATCACTTGCTCATTAGTGGATCCTCTGCAGTGAATGGGTGCCATCAGAATGAGAGTTTAAACAGCTGATAAAAACATCACAATAATCCACAAGTAATGTAGGTAATCCAAAGGTTTGTCTTTGTAACAAATACATTTTTAACTTAAAGCTGACGCTAAAATGGATCAATCCATAATACTGATCAATTGATAATATTGATTTCTTCAGTGAAAAGTTGACTTGTCTGAATCAGGTGTGAAATATGCACACACCAAGCACTGTTTACAAGTGAAAAACAGTCCAAAACAGTGCTAGAAATATACGTCAGAGGTTTTTGACATGAAAAGACAACAGGGGATGGACTATTTCACTATTGGAAGTGTTATTATTAAACCAAAAGCAATGGTTACAAAGTTAAAAACGTCTTAATGATGGATTTGTTTCTTATAAACATGCAGCTTTTGACGTCATTGATGGACTTGGAGTGTTGTGGATTATTGTGATGTTTTTATCAGCTGTTTGGACTCTCATTCTGACGGCACCCATTCACTGCAGAGGATCCATTGGTGAACAAGTGATGTAATGCTATATTTCTCTAAATCTGTTCCAATGACTAAACAAATTCATCTATATCTTGGATGGCCTGAGGGCGAGTACATTTTCAGCACATTTTAAATATTGGGGGGAACTATTCCTTTAAAGGTAAAGTATGTAGATTCTGGTCCTCTAGTAGCACAAAAAAGAAATGCACCTGACCTGATCAAACAGCTGATGCTGAGCCAGATATCCAACTCCATCCTCTGCCTATAAGAAAACAACAAAAAATAACAAATATAGACAGTTCATAGCTTCTCTGGGCAAAATAAATAAACAAAAACACTGAAATGAAACTCAAATGATTCTTACTGTTCCTATAATGTAGCGGTCTATGAAGTCTTTCACTGTGATGAGTTTTTGTGACCACTCTTCATCAGTGTACTTGGATCCCACTTCAATAGGTACTGTCCGGCAGCCAGCGATAGTTTGCAAGTAGTCTATGCTTAGAGAGAGTGTACAGTATGGCAGTGTACAGACGTTTCAGAAGATAAAATCTAATAATGCATATATTTCAGTACCTCCATGGATGCTCTGTGAAAGCCGGCCAGTGGTCCGTTATTCCTTCTATAATCACAGGCTTCTGAGGATCCAGGAAATCTGATCTGAAGCGCTCCAGGGATGGACAATGAATCCTAGGCACTGCTTGTGCAGGGTTTGTCACAGGCTCGGACACACAGTCCACTTTCATTTTCTGTTTTAGAAAAGCTTTATAAGTGAATAATGCACCGAGTAGACTATTAGAACAAGGTTTTAAAGAGCATGACATGATTTAGTAAAATAGAACATGTTACTGAATCAACAATTGATGTTAAATCACAGGCCAAACCTTAAAAAAAATAAAAAAATAATCACATTTCCAACATATTCACCGATTCCAACAAACACAACAATTAAGTTTTATAATTTCAAATAATAATATATTTGTAAATGAATCATTTTGTGTAAATGTGAATTATTAATCTTTTTTAATTAAATAAATTCACACATAATTTGATCAAATGTTAGGTTTTCTTTACAATGACAATTTGCACTAATAGCGGAAAATGATGAAATTATACTTATATACATACGTTCAAGGCAAAAATGACATTGAAGTATTAAAATTACTACAACTAAAAATTCAAAGCTAAATAGAAATATAAAAACTACATATACAATAAACATACACAAAAAACGTACATTTCCTTAAAACTAAAATTAAACTGAATGAAAGCTACTTCAAAATATTTACAAAAATTAATTCACAAATCCTTCACGCTCTTGGCTTTATGAGAGATGACTTCACCTTTGAACAGGGTTCTTCACTCCTCTCTGCTTTGTTTGGACTCTTCATTTTCACTTGATTTCTTAAGACACCAACAAGCCTTTGCAGAATGTTGTCCATGATGCCTGCTCCCATTAACAGACCCATGTCACATGTTTTAATGGCCTCTTGGATATTGCATTGAGATGGATTTCCATGACATAAACTTAAGACTTTGAATAAGCAGCCATAAGAGTAAACTCTCCTCCACTCCTTGTCCACATCTCTCCACGTCCCAGTGTTGAGCTTCTCCCAGGAGTAATCGATGATGACCTGAGCTCTTTGAGCAGAAGCTGGACAATCTGCTTCACTGTACAGCTGATCTCTAGCCAGCTCGACAACCTTCAACACACTCAATTCAATCTTCTCGCTGAAGTGAAGGGGGAATTCACACACTGTCGAGGGCAAAACAGCTCGAACATCAGTCCAGACTGGAGCCATGAGCAGAAGAAACTTTTGCAGATCACTTGTGATTGATTTCTGATGGATGATCTGTTGAGAAGCGAACACGGGACTGGTTTACTTGCTTGGGGAGAAAGCACAGCTACTGCTCATGGTATTGAGATACAGAACTGGTGTACAATAAAAGTCATATTTGTTACAATGTATAATAAACACCGTTTAAAAACAAAGGTAAACAGCTAGCGTTAATCACGTAAGAAATGTGCAACTAATGTAAAAAGAAAAGTATTAAAGCGAAAGCCAGTAGTGTAAACAGTTGAATATAGTACCCTACCCGGTGTCAACGTCCGGCTGGAAACACAGAAGATAAATAACGTTCCGCTTCGGAACGCATTCCTTTGTTGTCAGAGTCATTTAATTGAAATCGGGAACTGGTGTACACACAATATGAAAGAACGTCTTTTGAAAACATTTGTATGCGTTACTTATATTTGATGTTAAATGTCACTGTGTGTGTGTTTTTTTTTTAAAGTTAACTTTAATATTAAGGCTCTACCTGAAAGATATCACTGTAAAACTCTTCTGAAATAAAAAATGACTGCGGTTTTATTTTTTGTTAGCTTTTAAAGGCGCCTGTCAATCATTTTGCGGACAGTCCATATATGGGAAAACGGAAGTTTAGAGCGCAACAAATGAACTTGAAGCGGCTTTCGTTAGTTTGAGGGTGCAAACTAAAGTGTTCACAATTTTACATCTCCTTACAATGGCTTATACAAAACGTCCTAAAATCAACAGGAAGACGGAGGAAACAAGACCAAAAAGCACTTGACGGGTAAAAAACAACATGGTTTGACCAAAGAAAGACATACAAAGACTGGCCTGGCCTTTCGACAGAGGAAGTTCTGTAACGTTCACATCGCTAACACCTGTAAATTCTGAAGAGTTCATTTATCAGTTGATTTAAATGTTAATTTGTTAATATAGAATATATTTTTCTATTCTGAAACACCAATGAATAAACTGTTCCCATTTAGCCAAATTAGGAGGAAACCTCTGGCCTTTATTGTTTACTGCTTAGGCCTACAGCGTCCAGACAGTAAATAGACAATGAATTTGTCTCATGATTATTAATAGATAAAAGTAATTATATTGTCCATTTTAGTCCTGATTGCAACTCCTTACAGCCAAGGTTGTTTCAAGATGCAATGTGTTCAGTGCATATAATAGGGGCATTTTTTGCAGCCTATATTTTCTGTAAGAACTATTGTTTATTTATCTGAGGCCTGTTTTCTATATGTATCACAGACGTGACCTTTTGTCAACCCTGTGATGTATTATGTAAAAGACAAAAAGCTACTAAATAATTCACTCCTAGTTACAGATATGCTTTCATGAGGAGTGCTGTGAAGGGCTAAACAATGATCTGAAACCATAAGCCTCAAGAAATATTTAAATTTCCCAAGAAAAAAAAAAAATGATGCAGCACGATATAATGAAAACAGTGATTATCTCCGGGTTCTGCTGATGTGTTCATAGCCCTCTGCTGCTGAGTCAACGAGCCTGTTTACAAACTAGGCCGCTTGATTGGATGCTGCACATGTAATACAGCTGTATCTTTTAGGTCAGCATCGCTGCAGAAGTGTTAGAGGAGATAATATGAAGCAAATATTGACCGCTAGAATTGGGAAGGACACTCTTTGATGCGTTAATCTGTTTTGTGTGTTACTTAAATGACAGCATTTGTTTGGTTTTTAATTTACCCTTGATTTCTCCCATGACCATTGAGCAGACTGCTCTGTGGAAAAGAGCCAGCTGTTGAAGAATCAGATGTTTGCGCAGCTAGATGATCTGTGAAGGAGTGTGTTTAGGGGGAGCACAGTGAGGTTTTTACATGAGATTTTAATGGTGGGGAACACTGCAGTTGTTACCTTGTGTGTGTGTGTTACGTATACACTGAATAAAATTAATGCTGAGAAACGCTCAACATATTGCACACATTTAACAATGCAGCATGTCATCATGTTCCAGGCAATGTTGCCGGGCAGGTTTTTTGAGCAATGTTGCTTGGGCAATTTCCCATTGAGAATTGGCATCAAATTTCTGTCTGGATATTTTAGGATGGTCGTGGGCCCTGCGTCTCACCTGGTTGCCTGTTGATGGCAACATTGCTTAAAAAGTAGTTTTTTATATAAAAAAATATTGCATATTAATACCTTTTTGTTGAACAAATATGAATTTAGTAAAGCTTGCCCTATAATTCTGTGAATGAAACAAAGACTTTAATGACATTCCCAGACTTACATTACAAATTTGGGATATATGGCAATTGATGCATTTATGGATAATGATATCATTATTTAAAATATTTCATATGAGAAATGTAAGTATACGACCTTTAGATTTTATGTGGCCATAACACTTTACATTTACATGCATGTTTATTCATTTAGTAGAAGCTTTTGTCCGAAGTGACTTAAAAATGAGGAATACAACTAGGGCTGGGCAATATAGCTAAATAATTTATCAACGATATAATGTTTCATATCGTTCGGTATCAATAATTATTGACATTTTTTATAACCTTTTTTAAAACAAAGAGCAATAGAAAAAACATTTACATTTAACCACTGTATTTTTAAATTAACCCAATTTATTGAGACAAACAACAAATATTTTTTGTTTTAACAATCAAACACAAAATAATACAAAAAAACTAATTTCTAATGTTTTATATGCAGATTAAATAGGTCTTAAAGGGGTCATATGATGCGATTTCAATTTTTCCTTTCTCTTTGGAGTGTTACAAGCTCTTGGTGCATAAAGAAGATCTGTAAAGTTGCAAAGACTAAAGTCTCAAATCCAAAGAGATATAAACTTTTGTCTTGTCTCCCGAGGCCACAGGAGGGCGCAATGAGCAAAATAATGCAGCACATTTAAATTGTCAACGCAAGGAAGTAACGCTATAAAAAAAACGTGCGTTACGTCTATATTAACTCATAAAAATCAAATATAATTTCGTAAATTGCATAAACAATTATGAACAAAACAGTATCATGTATTTATGCATTGCTTAATACAAAAAGCCGAAGTGCCATTCACACAGACTGCATTTAAAAACGTATGAGACGCAGTCAAAAGGAATAAACCTCCACAAATTTGCGACGTGTTTTCTAAAAGTTTAAACTTTGAATGCTTTCTAATCTCTTGTGTGAGACGCGAGTGCAGCAGTCACATTTGGCCGTCTAAAAATGCGCTGAATATGCGTTCTGTGTGAATGGCTTGGTTTCGGTTTAAGATCTTCTCCGCATATAGCTTCTATATTTCTGTAATATTTTGAGTGCATAACACAGCAGCGGCGCATCTCGTGGGCTAGACTAACAAAACATTCAAATGCAACAACGTCACTTACATCATCATCACCGCATCTGGCGTGCCCTGATGCACACCTAACATTCAAATGCAAATGTTTATTTTAAATTCGACTAATATTCATTCTTTATTCACAATCTCCTCATCACAGGAAGTCACAGCAAGCCTTTTAGCATGTGTTCGTGTTTGTGTGTGCTGTCTGCGTCACTCATAGCACGTGCCTATATTGTGCACTATATCGAACATTTTTTCTATTGTTATCGAAGAAGGTGTACCGTCGATAAATATCGATACCGTTTTATCGCCCAGGCCTAAACACAACAAGCGATTTTTCATCATAAATAGGCAATTAATACAAGAAGTGCTATTAATGCAATGTGTCCAACATCGTTCAGAAAAGTACAAGATAGAACAGGGAGGAATTAAGAAAAAGTGAAAGCATAGAGAAATTTTTCTTCAGCTGGCATTCCAGATAGGGGTGGGAAGATCATTGATTCTTGATGTTTTTGAACAGTGAGTGAAAACGTTCTGGAATGTAATTTTGTGCATTTCTGAGATTGTATCACGAGGCGTTGCTCACTTTCTGACCTCGGGCTTCTGGAGAGAATGTAAACTTGTAAGAGCGAGTGAAAGTAGGAGAGTGTGGAGCACGTGGTTGTTCTGTATGCAAGCATTAATGTCTTGAATTTGATGTGAGCTGCAACCTGTAGCCAGTGCAGAGAGCGATAAAGAGAGGTGTAATGTAGGCTCTCTTGAGCTTGTGGAAGACTTAATGCTGCTGCGTTCTGAATCATTTGTAGAAGTATCATTGCATTTCATTGAAGTACAGCCAGAACAGCACTGCAATAGTCCAGCCTAGAAATGACAAGGGCCTAGATGTGAAGTTGTGCAGCATGCTCTGTTAGGAAGAGCATGATCTTCCTGATATTGTGCAGTGCAGGTCAGCTGGTTATCAAAGATTACTCCAAGATTTCTGACCAAACTTGATGGGATAATTGTTTATGAATCTAGCTGGATGGTGAATTTGTGTCGTACAGTCAGTCGATGAGAAGTTGTCTTTGCTAAGTTGAGCTTTGTCATGGTTTCTGTAGAAAGTTTATTTTTTTTGGTTGTGGTAACTGACATTGTCCTTATTTTGCTGATGCCACCATTCATTTTTAAATCTATTATTTCAATACAATACATATTTAGATTTCTGATCATATTTTTTCTGACAACTTTTTTAAAATTCTGTCATTCTTATGCTAATATTCAGTTGCTTAAATATACTTAACACTACTTCGCTCATAAACGGCCCTGGTTTTATTTACTTGGTACAGTTATGTTTGGAATTGGACATTTTCATGTCTTCAGTTCTCCTGTTCACCAAGGTAGCATTTAAAGGTGCAGTGTGTAATATTTAGGAGGATCTATTGACAAAAATGCAATGTAATTAATATACATAACTATGTTTTCAGAGGTGTACAAAGACCTTCCATAATGAACCGTTATGTTTTAACCGTTATGTTTACTTAGAATGAGCAATTTATATCTACGTACACCGTGGGTCCCCTTACATGGAAGTCGCCGCCATGTTTCTACAGTAGCCCTCAAAGGACAAACAGAGTGCATTTCGTCACTATGTTGTTCTTGCGAATACAACACTGAACAATGATGAACAAGTAACAATAATATTCGCAATGACATATAGTTTTATTGAATAATTAAGTAAATATAATTCCTTCATTTACCTTTGTAAAGAAACCTCATTGCTGGCTATATCGGACACCGTAGCTTCTCTAAAGGGAGGGGTGAGCGGGGGACTGAGCCGTTGGCTGCAATTCAAAAATAGTAATAATAAATGATGAATTATTCTGAATTATTATTACTATTTGAAATAACTATTTTCTTTAAACATTTTAGAATTCTGTGTTCATATACGTGACCCTGGACCACAAAACTTAAGTCTTAAGTCGCTGGGGTATATTTCAGAATTCTGTGTTCATATATTTTAAAATTCTAATTTTGACTGTG